GCTAGAGCCTGTGAGGGTGCTTGCTCTCAGGGAGCGTGGGCTGGGGGACACATCTTTGTGCTCTCCCTTTGCCTTGCTGCCGCTCACTGGTGTCTCCCAAAAAGGAGATTATACACTTGTCTAGAACCCTGATTTTTGCAATTGTCACCCAGAACGTATTGCTACCTGGCCTGGCTCCGGTGGGTAGTGGGACTTACGCTTGTGGTCCCGCAGGCTGTATATTTGTATGCTTTAAAAACTGCGGCCTGCATGCCTGGCTTCCAGCCAGCTGGAATCCAGGTGCTGACAGAGATCCTCTTATTTGAAACACTGCCTGGTCTTGGCACACCCTCAACATTGGGGAGCGGTGAAAAATAACGTAGGCTGCTGCCTGGACAGTCACAAAGGTTTGAGAGACAACCAAGAGCTAGGGCAGGGCTGAATGATAAGTTTATCTTCTTCAGAAGGCTGATCCTTGACTGGGAGATGTGGCTGTTTTCATCTAATGCATAGACACCAATGCGGAGTTAGGCAAAATAAGAGAACAAAGGAATGTGTTCCCAATAAAGGAAACTGATAGAACCCCAGGAAAAACACCCTTTGTGAAATGGAGCTGAAGTCAGGAATTACAAACCAGGCAGAAACTGGAGTGGAGGAGAAATAGGCCAGAGGCACGGGATGCTGTGGAAACCTGCTGCCTGTGCAGGCCCCTTTCCTGGCACTTGGGCAGGTTTGTCAGGACACAAGCTTGGGGCAGACACCAAGTAATGAAAACATAACCTTTATGTTAGGATAACTTTTATTTGCATGTAGACAATTTAATAGAAATGAAAGAAAAAAAAAATAGGCGTTCTGCTTACCTACTAAGTCAGAATGTGACGATCAAGCCCACAACCTTGTTCCTGCTGTATTCCTGTCTCGCTGAACCATGAGGAGGGAGCACAGTGCAGTGGGGACACAGGGAATCTGGTCCAAGTGTTGGGTCTGTCCATTAGTTTCATCTTCTTCTCTAAAACTTGGCCAGGACTCCTGTTGCAACTCAGACTAATGTGTATAGAAAAAGGTTATATATTGGAACCCTGTCAGAAACACTCAGGGCCTAATGTGCTCCAAGCACAGCTAGACTCAGGTGGTGGAACATGGTCACTAGACACCTGTCTTTCTTCTTCTGTAAGCTCTGCTCTTCATATTCTTTTTAAAAAAAATATATTGTATTGATTTTTTACAGAGAGGAAGGGAGATGGATAGAAAGCTAGAAACATTGATGATAGAGAATCATCGATCAGCTGCCTCCTGCACAGCCCCCCACCAGGGATGTGCCCGCAACCAAGGTACATGCCCTTGACCGGAATCAAACCTGGGACCTTTCAGTTCACAGGACAATGCTCTTTCCACTGAGCCAAGCTATTGTACTTCCAGCTGCTCTTCATGTTCTTGTTTCATTCTCACAGGGTCTCCATAACATTGTGGCAAAGTGGCCTTGGATGGCTCTAGGCTTATCTTCTACCAGCTGGAACTCTCCAGGTGAAAGGGGGCTTCTTTCTCAGCAGTCTTGCCATGGCCTGACCTGAGCCATGCCATTGCCCCTGGCTAGTCAGCCCCAACACACAGGTTGCTCTCTACAGTGCAGGGGTAAGATCTATTTCATCCAACTCTCATGGGAAAATGGTGTTGGAACAGAAAGAAGGAGAGATTCATATTGGGCAGGCAAAACCTGCTGCTGTGGTATCATAGTGCCCTCCTGACAGCTCATCTGTGGTAAGGACTGAGTGGGAGAAAACACACAAAAAGAGCTGTGTGTAATTAGATATTATCTCCTGTGAAATTCAGACTTGTGACCTTTTTCAATGGTGTCCTCTTTTTTCCATCTCCAACTTCAGCCTACTTGATAATAATATATTTTGAACTTTAAAAAATTATTTAGTAACATTGAAGAACTAGGAACCTTCATGTGAGAATCCAGATTTCTGACTGTTCTTGTAAAGGTGACAGAACCTCATTAGGAGATTCTTCTTCTTCTTTTTAAAAAAATATATTTTATTGATTTTTTACAGAGAGGAAGGGAGAGAGATAGAGAGTTAGAAACATCGATGAGAGAGAGTCATCGATCAGCTGCCTCTTGCACACCCCCTACTGGGGATATGCCCGCAACCAAGGTATATGTCCTTGACCGGAATCGAACCTGGGTCCCTTCAGTCCCCAAGCCGACGCTTTATCCATTGAGCCAAACCAGTTTTGGCAGGAGATTCTTCTTTGCCGGAAGCAGGCACTGCCCAGCCTATCCTCACCTGGCCTCGGGTGACATCTGGGGTCCTCTTCATGTCTTTAGTATTTCCACATTCTCTTATAAATTAGAAAAGGGCAAACTATCTGTCCACTTGGAAGAAAGGAAGATTGAATTCTTAACCTCTGACTTAAGAAAAACTGATACATTACTTTCCAAATTCCATAGAACTAGAAGGGACGCCTCAATGCAAATCCACCGTGCAGACCTCACCTCAGTTTTGATCATTAATTAGTGTTGTTCTTTAAAGATGTCACACTGCCCTCTGGTGCTCAACATGCTACACTGCAATATCTCAAGTGGCCACTACATTCTCTTTCTATAGCACATGTGTCAAACACAAGGCCCGCGGGCCAAATCCGTCCCGCCAGGCCTTGCAATGTGGCCCGCACTGCGCTGTCATCACTGCACTCCGCTGCGTTTCCATCACAATGACAGTTTATGACTGTTCAGTAAACCATTTGGCCCACGATTTAGGCTGGATTTTAGATTTGGGCTCCTTCTCTGATTGAGTTCGACACCCCTATTCTATAGTCTCTGAATAATTAAAAGGGGAGGGGGGGGAGAGATAGAGAGAGAGACAGAGAGAGAGAGACAGAGAGAGAGAGATCATTCTACTTTAAAAATAACTTTTAAAATTTCAGAGATCTTTAAGCCCTTAATGGGCAGAATTTGTTAGTGGGGCCCTGGAAGACACTCAGCTACTCAGCACTTGGGAGAATATGGAAATCACTAACAGTTTCCAAAAGTTCAATACTCCTCAATAAAATGGGTTCCTGGAAAAAGCAACAAGACCCAGGCATGTGATCTTATAGGGCCTTCTTTGAGATTGTGTGTAAAATCTTTAAACCAAAGAAAAATAACTAAGGATGCATTGCATAATAAAACAGTGACCACCTAGAACCCAAACCAGGGTCAGATCCACTTTAATGGGACCTGAAGTATATGTAATTTGGAGGGCCCTTTTTAAAAAAGCCTAAAACATATCTACCTTTCCAATTTTATATAAACCATGAAGAGCCTTATAGGCTCTAGCAGAAGCTTCTGGCCTCTAAGTAAGTAAGGGCCCCTGAGACTTAAGTTTCATAGTTTCAGAGAAATTGGCCTCAGATCCCAAGGAATTGTTTCACTGCAGCTCCAGGGCTTTTTCTTGAGCATTATAATTCGCCTTAATAAATTAGGGAACACACACAACTCAGTAATACGGTAGCATTTCTGTGTGTTCTTTATATCCTCTGACTGTTGAAAATTGATCATCTTTGAACCACTCTAGCCAAATGAAAGCAAATCAGTTTGTTTATACAGAAACAACTTTAATGACGTTAGCTGTATGTGGAAGAATTATAGAAGATCAGACCCTTCCAGGAGTCAAAGAGATAATGAAAGAATTAGGGCAGCTATATTAAATGACTGGATCCTGACACTTGGTGTTCATGTTCAGCTCACTCCCTGGAGAAGACAGATTGTGTTCACTGATCACTTGTGAAAATCTAGATGTTAATCACCAGGATTATAAGCCAGTCTAAGTCGGGGGGAAAATCACCTAGCTTTCACAAAGAAGAGGTTTCTATTACCCAGAGCAGAAGATGACATTTTTTGGATACTAATCATAGGAAATAACAAGTTTTCTTAGAGCCTAGCCAATGTTGATCAATGGTTGAACATCGGCCTATGAACCAGGAGGTCATGGTTCGATTTCCAGGCAGGGCACATACCCAGGTTTTGGGCTCAATCCTCAGTGTGGAGCTTGTGGGAGGCAGCTGATCGATGATTTTCTCTCATCATTGATGTTTCTATATCTCTCTCAATCTCCCTTTCTCTCTGAAATCAATAGAAATATATAAAATAATTTATCATAATAAAAGCGTAATATGCGTAATATGCTTAATTAGGCTGGATGTCCTTCTGACGTCCCTCCATCCTTCCAGACAAGCTGGGGCTGCGAGGGAAGCCAGAGTCCCAGCTGCCAGAGGGAGCTGGTGCCAGCAACTGGGGGAAGGAAGGCCTACTCTTGCACAAATTTTGTGCATGGGGCCTCTAGTAAAATAATAAAATAAAAGGTTTCCTGAGATGAAATCTCAAGCAGCCATTAATCACATATTACTTTAATTTTCTGAGTAGTACATAATACTCTTAGATATTTTTTCTTCTCCATTATTTTGTTTATTTATCAAACATTCTCTGTGTCTGTAAAATCCGTGACCACAGGGCTCTTGCCTGTACTGTCCCAGAGCAGGGCCACTGCACCTGGCCACGTCCACTGCACTCTGTAAGATCACAAGATGCCCTTCACCTCGTGTGTATGTCACAAGAACTTCCCTGCAGTCTGTCCAGAACCCAGGGCTGACCCGGGCACAGAGCAGTCCTCAACAGTGCTGTCCTGAACAAATGAGCACGTGTTACGTCAGCCTGTGCGTTATTTTCATTTGAAACAGGATGAGAAATGGAAAGGTTTTTGCGTTCCATGAATCCAAGTACATTTACATGAGCAGAGCAGTGTCACTTAGACGGATGACTTTTTCTGACTCAGCTGACACTTGTGAACTGATTTAGCTTAGTCACGGCTGTGAAAGTCAAACCAGTAAAACAGAGAGACAGTTGGGTCTTCAGATTTCTGTGCCACCTTCTGTGGGTGCCATTTCCCAGGCTCCAAAGCCACTTCCTTCAGACTCCTTGTGCACAGCTTGTGTGTTGTGACTGGGGAGTGATGGTACGTGTGCTGCTGTTGTTTCTGTAGCATTCAGCGAGCCTGGCGCGAGTACCTGCAGCGGCAGGACCCTCTGGAGAAGAGGTGCCCGTCCCCGCCCTCGGTGTCCTCGGACAAGCTGAGCAGCTCCGTCAGCATGAACACCTTCTCCGACAGCAGCACGCCCGTGAGTGCCATTTTCCTTTTCATGGTCTGACTGGCCAATCCCCTGATCACCGGGGCCCTGGCGCCAAGAGAGCATCTTGGGATGGGAACGGGTGGCTTGAGATCAGAGGACATCTGTTGCTTGTTCGTGTGAACCCACGGTGAGGGTGTGCTGTCACCAAATGAAGACATGATTCATAAACACCCTATGAACTTGATCAACTCTGCGGGAAGTGATGCGTTTGACATCAACCTAAACCATTTATGTGTTTGCATTCCTCTATTACTGAGAGTACCTTCCTTTTCTTTATAACAACATGCTCCATTTAGTCTGTGCCTCTGGTGGCGTTTTGCTGTGCTAATGTGATAGGAGATGCATCTGATTGTAAAGATTATAAAGAGAACTTTTACAGAAAGTATTGAAAAGGCTTATAAACTCAGAGGTTACAACATGAATGCCTGCAGGGGCCAGGTAAGTAACCCATGTGATTGATGGGGGCAAGTGTCCCTGCTAACTGGATACGGGCCTCCTCTGAATGGCAGCTCCAGGGAGCTCCTGGAAGTGAGTTGCTGTTGTCAAAGGTCATTTTCTTTCTTCAGGGGTGGTCAGAAATCCAGACTTTTAAACATCGGCAACAAGAACATTTAAAACATATCTAGACCATGTCTGTAGACCACACTTGTTCCAAGGGTCACCAGTTTAAGAACCCTGAGTACAGAGTTAAGGAGGAGAACAGTCTGCTGAACATCTTTATTTTAAACAACCACAACCAAAGGTGGTAGGAAATGAATGCTCAGGAGATTATAATGCAGCGTTTTGCAGATTTAGCCTTCGTCATAATTTATGAATAGTCACTGGAATCCTGGGAGAGGGTAGGAAGAAAAATGAAGTAACTATCCAAGGGTATTATTTTTAAAAATTATATTCCTTAACAACTTTGTAATCCTGTTATTTGTCAAAAGGCTTCCCTACAGCCAAAATAATGTATTCACATCGGGAGCACGCAAAGGTTACTTTGAAATGTTTTCCGATGATTGCATTGTGTATTCTTTAATGAATGGTTTTGTCTAGTTGTGGATTCTAAAGAGAGAGCAGTAAGTTGAGTTTACAGCTGTGCAAATAATAGTGGCAGAAAATCTATTTTTAGTTGACAGCAGAAATGGAATACTTAGTGAATCGGCACTTTTAAGAATTTTTTTTTTTTTTTTTTTTTTTTTTTTTTTTTTTTTAATGGCTGTGATGGTGGTGGTGCAGGGGGGATGAATCGTCTTAGCTGCCCTTAGAATATCACTAGAGGGCGCGCATGAACCACAGTGGGAAATTCAGTTGCGTTCAGTAAAGTTTATGTGTAAGTCTCCATTTAAGAGTGAAACATAATGTGAAAATTGAGTGTTTGGGATACTTTCTCTGTGAAGGTCAATAGAAGGTGAACGTTAAAAGGCTTTTAAGATTCTATTTGAATGAGGGACACTGAATATCAGAAATCAGTGCCTGTGGGTTAAACGTTTGTGTTCGCTCTCTTTGCACTCCCACCTTGGCTAACCCTGTCACAAGCAGGTGCACTTCCTCTAATGACCAGCTTTCCTGGATGACTCCCTGTGCTGAGCAGAGAATCAGGCTTTCTGCTCTGATTGTTTTGGTTATGCACATGGTTAATATAGGTTTTAAATAGTTTTGCTTGCCCTGCCTACATTGACCTATGATTTAGGAGGTCACAGTTTAATTCCCGGTCAAGGCACAAGCCTGGATTGCAGGCTTGATCCTCAGTGTGGGGCATGCAGGAGGCAGCAGATCCATGATTCTCTCTCATCATTGATTGTTTCTATCTCTCTCTCCCAATAAAACTATATGTAAATAAAAAGAATAGTTCTGCTTTACAACATATATTAATAGTAATGTTTCAGTATGAGCTCCCGAATTCATCTTGATAAGAGCTGAGCCCTTACTAAATGCAGAATACTTTACCCTGGCTGGTGTGGCTCAGTTGGTTGGGCATTGTTCCGTGTACCCAGTTGGGCACCTGTCCAGGTGTCAGGCTTGATCCCCAGTGGGGGGCTTGTGAGAGGCAGCCAATTGATGTTTCATTTTCACATTAATGTTTCTCTCTCTCTCTCTCTTCCTCCTTCCCTCTTCCTTTTCCCCCCTCTCCCTTCCTTTCTCTCTAAAAATCAACTTAAATATCTTTTTTTTAAAAAAAAAACCAGTTACTTTACTAATGCTTTCTGTGGATTCTTTCATTTAATCCTCTCAATGACCATATGAATAATTATTATCTCCATTTACAGATGATGAAATGAGACTTAGAGATATAATTAACTTGCTCTGGGCTACACATCCAACTGGAGCCCATACGCTGCGCTATTCTATCATACTGTGACACTTGAAAAAAAAGACTGTTTAGACGTGGTCAAGCATTGGAAGAGACAATCAGTTAATGAATTTTAAAGATTATTTTACAAGTTAATAGGTATAAACAATGAATTAAATAATTGAAAAAAGAATCCTTGCTTGATTTTACAAATTGCCTAATTTAATGCTCTTTGATTAAAATCTCAAACCTCAGCTGCTCAATGCCAAATTGAAGAGCAACAGGAGGGAAGATAATATTAAGTATTGTTAGCAATTTGCATATTAAGTACCGTTATACCACAATGTATCATGCAGTAACAGAAAAATTTTTTAGAAACAGCAATTTTGAGCCTGGCTGGTGTGGCTCAGGCGGTTGAGTATCAACCAGTAGACCAGGATGTCACCTTTTGATTCCACTCAGAACACATGGCTGGGTTGTGAGCTCAATGTCCAGTAGGGGGCATGCAGGAGGCAGTCAATCAATGGTTCTCATCATTAATGTTTCTGTTTCTCTCTCCCTCACCCTTTCTCTCTGAAATCTTTTTTTTTTTAAAGAAAAGAAACATGGTAGCCTATTAAAAAAAAAGAAATAGCAATTTTGAATAGCAACTATTACTGTAGGTATCAAAATGAGAAAAAAATGTAATTAAAAATACTAAAAATATTGTGATTGCACTGAGGACAATAGAGGAAAATTCTTTGTGCGCTTTTTATTAATCAATTTCATAACCAAATATTTATCCTTTTAGTTCCCAGCTTTGAGAAATCTGTAATTGGCCTCATAGGATATCATGGGAAAAAAACCATACTATGGTATAGTCTAAACTAGATTGGCAACATTTCACAAATAATTAGCCTACTCCTGCAGATAAATCCAGAAAAACCTTCGAATTGTTTGGAGACATTTTCACTTCCATTTGGCTTGGGTTGGCTCCATCTACCTCAGCCTTTCTTTCTGGCAATGCCCACTTTCTCCCATTGGTTCCCCATATTTTACAGTCTGGCCTGCAGAGAGCAGTGTGGCTCATAAAATGAGGCCCTAGACCACCTGACTTCAAATAGCAGCTCTCCACTACTTTTGTGAGTCTAAGACAGAATATCTGAGAGATCCCTTTATCTGCAAACTAGAAATAGCAACCATCTCAGAGATGGGTTGGGCCACTGTGAAGATTGAATGGCACTGCATATATAAAACAAGACGCATGATGCTCTCCATAAATGTTAGCTCATTTGGAATCTGCGCTTAGAGAACACTCCATGTGTCCCAAATGCCGAGGAAAAAGTGTGAAGAACAGAGGTGGAATTTTTAACTTGATTCCAACTGGGGAGCCCTGTTTCTGATTCACCAAATCAATTCATGAGAATCAAATTGTGCCATAGAAGGTGTGTGTGTGTATGTGTAGACACACACACACACACACACTGAGTGGCCAGATTATTATAATCTCTGAATGCATAATAATCTGGCCACTCAGTGTATATCCTGTATAATAAAATGCTAATATGCAAATTGTCCCCTTGACCAGGAGTTTGACCAGCAGGCAGGCCGCTCAACTGCCCATGTCCCTTCCCCCTGGCCAGGCTGGCAGGTCCCCACCCATGTATGAATTCATGCAATGGGCCTCTAATACACACACAAACATACACACACACACTGAGTGGCTAGATTATTATGCATTCAGAGATCATAATAATCTGGCCACTCAATATATATATACAATATATATATATATATATATATATATATATATATATATATACATACATATATATATATATATATATATATATATATATAGTCATGTGTATTCAAAATGTATATTATGAGATTGGAGCTGTACATTATAAAAGTAATAAATTAAGCATTTTTTTTTAATGTTGCTCCTTTTGCCTTTAAATGAGTGGACCTCTTCTGAGAGGCAATACCCCTGTTCATAGTAAAAGCAAGCCTAGGTCATTTTCCTCCCTTCAGGCCTGAGGAAGAAGAAGTGGGAGGATCTGCAGCAAGGTGGGGAGAATGGGGCTACTTGGCCTCACCTCTCAGGCAAAACAGTGCTGGAAGTGCTATTCCAGCAGCTGCATACCCCAGCCACCAGGTCCTGCTTCTCTCCTGCTCAGGAAGGATTGCAGTTCTGAGCAGGTTCAAGGGCAGTGTTTTGGGCCAGTTGAAGTCCCCATTACCTGGAAAGAAGACTGTGGATCCCTCATATCTATGGCACTGATTGAGTGGCCCTGCTGGGTAGTTAGCAGGGGGGCATCCAGTGGCCCACCAAACCTCCCCAAGTATACTACCAAAAGCCAGCACTGCCCCAGTCTGCCAAATGCTTGTGCACCTACATTCAAACTCCTTCATTAACCTTCAAGTTTTAGTTACCTTATTTTTTTTTTTTTTTTTTTTTTTTAATAACTGCCAGGCTTTAAAATACATCAGGAAAACTCTAGTGACTGTATTTTCACAAAATCCCACTTGTTTTTTTGAGGGAACGCAGGCCCTAAAAGGAATTCCTGGTACCCAACTGGCCTAAAAAATAATAAATTAAACATTTATTTTATGTCTTTTTTATGTCTCTCCTTTTATATATCTTTGAATGTTGGATGATAGTATACATTTTGTAATTATCCTTTTAACTTAGTGATTGGAGGACATTTTTCTCGATAGGTTTAAAAATGAGCATATTGAGGCCCTGCTAATATTGAGCAAT